AAAAAAAAAAAAAAAAAAAAAAAGTGAATTATGTTACAGCAGAATTATGTGTATTTTTTATATGTTTGCTAAGTATTTACAGGAAATCCCTAAATCTTTTAAATTTAATCCTTTAAATTTTTAAATAAAGATTTGACTACTATCTGAATATTCAATATTTTTAGGGTAATTTATTTCCTCAGAAGAACAATTAACAAGCATTACTTTAGTGAAAAAAATTTGAGGTAAATTTTTGAATTTATATTATTAAGAGATTATGTTTCTTTTCATGCCTTTTCTTCTTTTCAGTTACCTGATTGGATCAAGATTGGAGATGTGACTGACAAAAGCTGTCATCTTTTTGTAAACCTTCAATCAAAAGGCTTAAAAGGGGGAGGTATAATATTTTTACCAGGGATGGATGCCATATTTAGTTTCATGAAGATTATGTTTAATCTAGAAGTACAGCGTAGAACGATGGCTGCAAGGGGATGCAGGGAGGGAGAAGTAGGGAGGTGTTCATTGAAAGGTATAAACTTTTTTTTTTTAATTATGCAGAGTAATGTGATATGGAGATCGACTCTTGTAAAATACAAGGTCTGATTATGATTATCAGCATTGGGTACTTGTTTTAGTTACTCTTCTTATTGCTGGGACAAGATACCCGACACTCCCAAGTTATATGCCCCTTGTTGGGTGCCACCCACACGCAGCATGGGTCTTCCCTCTTCTGTAAATCCTTCTTCCACACCAGAATGTGCTAAATCCATCAGTGTACTAATCCAGTATCACACACCCATGATCCAATCCATTCCAGAAGCCCCACCTACAAGCATATGAGGCTCTGGGAGGAAATCTAAACCATAATAATACTTAAAAATTTACTGAGAAGGTAGATGTTAAATTAAGAGCCCTTCCACAAAAGGAGAGAAGAAACAAAAGGAAGTGGGAGGAAATGTAGGAGGTGACAGATAAGATGGCATTGATGGTAGTTATACTTTGCTGGTTTTGTGGGGGTACACTTATTTCCAAATTCATTGAGCTGTGTTTGTTCAGTATCTGTAGCTTTTTGTATCTCAGTCATACCTGAATGAAAATCTTAAAATGTTGTTTTGAAATTGAGGTCAAAGCATATAATGTTGGGATGCAGTGAAGGAGTATAGGAAGAATGCAAGGGTGGATGGAGCTGGGGGAGTGGTGAGTGGGAGAGAAGTCCACGGAAATAGTCCTGCTGAGGCTTGGGCTTGGCAGTAGTACCCAAATTATGCACATTAATTTAGACAGATTGAGCATCCATAATGCAGACATCCAAAATGTCCAAGATCTAAAACTTTTGAAATGCACACATGATGCCAGTCATGGAAAATTTCATACTTGACTTCATGCAACAGTTTATAATCAAAACACTAAAAATAGAGAAAATTACCCTCAGGTGATGTGTATTAAGGAATGTATGAAACATAAGTGGATTTTATGTTTAGATTTGCTTCTTGTTTCTAAGATATTTCTGAAGTATGTGCACATATTCTGTAATGTGAAATCTGAAGCACTTCTTGTCCCAGAAACAGTTCTGGTTCCTTATCTGGTTGATCGTGATACTCATCTTACTTTGATGTAGTTTTTATTTTTAAGAACAGATTATGTACAGATTTAAAAAATTCTGTGCCTCTGAAGAATTACTTCCCTCCTCCCCTTGCTTCTTACACCTTGCTGTCCCTTATCTGAAGGTAACCTGGTCAGTATCTAGTGTATACAAGGCTTAGGAGTACTTAGACTAGAGATCGTTTGAGACCGGGACTGCTGATTTCAGATCCTTGTGGCAGTAGGCATCACTACCATTGGCTCGCTGTTCATCAATAAAGCAGCACAAAATAGCACTGTTTACTTCATTTGCCTTGGAAAGTAGGAACTCTCCCGCTCCCTCCACCCAGTGGTTTTTATTTTTGAAGTAACAATCTTTTGTGATAGTAGAACTTGGGAAATACTTTTGAAACCTAGTTGGTAGTTTAGTTAAAAGTCTTTTGACGAAATTGACTCTGCTTTACTGTCTAGTAATTGCTTCATCAGGTAGATTTTTGTACCAGGGTTCTACCGTGAGGTACGTGAAACCTTGACTTGTGTGTTATACTGTGGTGGAACCAAATCACACAAAGGTCGTGGGTTTTTCTTCTGAATCATTTAAATTATGTTCTGTATTTCAGGTCGATTTGGACAAACAACTCCACCCCTTGTTGATTTTCTCAAGGACATTTTAAGAAGGTATCCAGAAGGAGGACAGATTCTTAAGGTGGGGTGTGTGCTGTGTTCATGTGTGATGTACTTCAATGAAAGTGAGACAAATGAAATTCCTTAGAAGTGTTCTTAGTGTTTACATTTTTAAGATTTTGTCTGAATCTGGATGCCTGTATTTCCTCACTTCCATGGCCGAAGTGCTTAGCTGGGAGGGCTGGGTGTGGGACGCAGCTGGTGGGACCGCAGGAGGTTTCCGGGGCGGAGGAATGCTCTGAGCTCCGGGGGACTGTCACTGAGCACAGTTGCTCCAGGCACGGCTATGTGGAACATTGGCAGGGGCGTCCCTCACCGCACGAGCAAACAAATGACACAGTCCACAGCGGATGCCAGGAACAAACATGCTTATCTGGGCCCTGGGTTTAGGGGTTTGCTTCCTTGAGAGTGTCTGTGTAACAGGATAATTGCTTCAGTTACTTATTTCTCTCTACGATATATTCTTACAGTTTGATATACCGATTAAAAACAAAAACTGAAGCATCAATCAGTGCAGGAAGATACTTGGTATTTCTCACCTTCAGTATCGGCCTCACTTCACTTCCTAGTTCAGATGGCAAGTTTTCAGCGGTGAGGGCTGTTTAACCGCATAGCCGCGCTTGGGTAGGCCCTGAGTGATGCCGGGTCGTCTGGTGCGACTCATGGGAGACGCTGGAGCAAGTTCCAGTCCCTCTTCAAGACAGGTGCTGTTGGTGCACAGAAGCGCAGTTGGGTTGGGAAAGTGAAGATGAGGAGGGGTGGCTGTGTGGTGGCTGTGAGTGGGGACAGAAGTGAGCGAGGAAGTCAGCCCGAAGGTTCAGGGGGCGGCTGCAGGGGCAGGGTCTTCTTGCTGCAGAGGCAGGTCAGTGGGCCCCGGCTGGGAGCCGAGGCAGCCGCGTTTCACTGTGCGGTGGAAGGCGGTTCGGCTTTGCTCGATGTGGGTTTTTGTGGTGTGGAGTAGCCAGCTCAACCATCAGTCACCGTTGGTGTTTGCTGAAACGTGTCCAGATAGTTTAGCGGCCTGGTTCAGAACAAGTGCAGACTTCCTAGCTGCTGCTTCTCCGAATCAATTTGAAAGTGATCCCCTGAGGATGATAGGAGGAGAGCGTCCTACTTTTTTTGTACAATTTGTGCTTTATAGTTGGAGCCTGGAACTTAATATTTTGCCTTCAGTTTTTTCCGTGTTTGCTTCTAAAATACACAGATATCACAGAGATTTGAATAGAATAAAGACGATATAACCTCCAAAGTGTTACTGCTGTGTAACTTCACATTGTGTTTCCTACCTGTTTAGCTCTTGTTTTTGTCTTCGTATTATTATACTGTCCTAATGTAAATGGATTTGCTCATTCTGAGGGATTCTGTTAGACTGCGTAGGGTAGGGATGTGGCTTTAAAAATTGCAAGTCCTTGAGAAGTGCACAGTTGTATGAATGGGAGTTCCTAACTGATCAGGAGGCAGTGGCAGGGTGTGGTTCAGCTGTTCCTGCGGGGTTGCCTAGCTGGTGGGTAGTGCACCCCAGCACCCTGGAATGCCCCTGGTGAATGACGAGCCTGACCTCAGACCCGGCTTTTCCCTTCTGCGCTGTTCCCGCAGTCTCCTTTTACTTGCTGGGCTTTATGTGGACAAGGTGCCACCTTTTATGCAGACCAGGGTGTCTGAGGAGGGCGTCCCGGCAGTCACTGCTGTAGTGTCAGTGTAGGTGCTTAGGGATCTGGGGAGATAGGAAGGCGCTTCTCCCCAGTCAGAGGTTTAGGGGTTTAGTCATCTAGGGTGATGTATGGTGCTTCTCATGACTCATCCATGTAAAATGCAAGCCTCCGATGTGGTTTGGTCTGTGTCAGAGCTCATTCAGGAAATTTTTTATTCATTTTTCTTTATTTTAGAGAAGATCTGAGGAATAAGAAAGGACAGTGTCTGGAGTTCAGTTCAGGTTTTAATGGGCGTGGCTCTAGGGCAGTGGCGGTAAGCCTACGGCATGGGTGCCACAGCAGGCCGCTCTAAAAGCTTCACCATCATAGCTCTGGGGAATGACTCTTCCTTCAGTTTGCAGCTGCCTTCCAGTGGGCCAGAGCCCGGCGTGTTTTGATAGGTGTCCGGAGTGATTGGGGCTTTGCAACTGGCAATGTTGAGACTACTCACGGGTGTAATTGTGTAGTTTGCACCTTCCTTTTCACATGACAGGGTTCTGGCCCACATCCACTCATGCACCATCCATCGAACTAGTAACACTGCTCCATTCTTCCTGAGAGGACTGAATCAGTTCTGACCGTCACCAGGCTAACAACGCTACTGCATTATGAACGGGTTGAGTCAGCTCTAGCCATCGTAACGCTTTCCGCTTAGTGCAGGAAAAGACGTATTTGTGTGTCAGACCTCAGGAAAATAGGCTATCCGGGGTGCATACGGATGGGTACTGGTTTTGTTTTGTTGTTGGTTTTTGTTTTTTTTTTTCAAAGAGAAGGTAAGTTTGGTAAGCAAATGCTAAGTGAAGGTCTGTTTCTGGAAACTGTTCAAGCAGGAGCTTATCTCCCTGCAGAGGACAGTGAGCTATCTTGGGGAATAATTTCTTTTGAACAAAGGGTATAGGCAGATTGTAGAAAAGAGACAGAATTATAAATAGTCCTAGGATTTGTGTTTAGTGCTTGGTTGTTAACGTAGATGAATTTCAGGTGCATGTAACTGGAGGCCTCTTCAACCACCATTTGATATGTATGTACTTTAGAAAATCTCACCAGAGCTTAAAGATAATGATAGATAACAATGGGTTTTCTTTACTTAAATATATTTACTTTTTAAATATTTTAAGTAAATACCAAGGTGGGAAGTAGATTGCTATATTATTAAGTATGTTATTTTTGGTGTATTTCGTGATTAGGAATTAATCCAGAATGCAGAAGATGCGGGGGCCACAGAAGTTAAATTTTTATATGATGAAACTCAGTATGGAACAGAGACTCTTTGGTCAAAAGATATGGCGCCATATCAGGGTAAGAATCACTAATTGGGAGATACCTTTATATACTACCAGATGATTTTCAAGTAATTTGCAGTGCTTCATTTAATGAAAAGCTTCATTGTCATTTGTATTTCATTCGTGGTAAATTAACTTCTCTGGGTGTTTTTCTTTACCTTTGGAGGGAAGCTGTCTGCCAGTTGGTATGTCATGGGAACAAATAAAAATATCAAAACCAAATAACGAGCAATGTAATTACGGAAGCCTTTTTTAAAAATTCCTTTATTTTATTCAGTCAACTAGTATTTTATATCATCGGTAACAAAGGGACACCCTGTCCATCTAAATAATTCCTTATATTTGCAAAGAAATTGTAAGAGCCTGTGCTTTTGTGTGCTAACCTTTGCTATAGGGCACTGGTACGTTAGAGGTCAGAGGAGGAACAAGGCAAATGAAAGTAGCAGTAGTAAGACAACTGACCACTGCACTCCTGATGGCCGACTTGTGCCTGGGGAAGTGTTGCACTGGATGCCCTTCCCTCTTAGTGCAGCTCTGCGGCCGACAGGAGGCTTGTGAAGACTGTGTGTTGAAAGGCAGTGAGAAAAAGAAGGGTAGGTGCAGTTCCCAAATTTTCAGAGATGTAAGTCATGTAGTTTTAAAAGGTGCTTTATGATCTAAGGGGATCATCATTATTAAATATTTATTAGCACTTACTGTAGGTATTATAGTCATTTTTAGACCAAATTTGTGATTAGGGAGCTGCACTTTATTCCATAAGATGAGGTGTGTGAGACGTGGTGACGTCAGGCGGCTTGCTTTCGGACCCTAACTCCTGCCCCCTTGCTGAGGCCCGGTTGGTCATTTCAAAGGTCACATCATTGTATAAGGAGAAGATCAGCTAGAAGGTTGCTTGGCTCCAACTTTATGATTTGTGAAAAGTTGTCCAGTTTGGATTCAGGGGTGCTTGGGTTAAGTCCTGGTCCTACACGGTACTGTGAGTATGTAGTGTTCTCCAGAGACTGGTGTGCCTGCCGGTGCCTCTGACCCTCGTGTTCGCTCCTGCTCCTCTGCAAACGGTACAGAGGCGGAGTCTGTCTGGTGATTTGAGGATTAAGTGAGGTCGCAGACGTGATGATGCTTGTCTCTGGTGTCACTCTGGTGCTGTTACGTGCTCGCCGTAGATGCTTAAAGGTGAGAATGGGGTGAGATCCCAGGGCTGTTTTGCTTCCAAATTCTGCCGAATGTCCAGGAGTTTTTGCATTCAGACCTGGCTTCACCTTATCAAACAATATTTAAAACAAGATTATTTAGCTGAGTTTGTGCATATTTATAGATAGGCTCTTAAAAGGTAATGTCAGGGGGCTGGGGATTTAGCTCAGCGGCACAGCGCCTGCCTGGCAAGTGTAAGGTCGTGAGTTCAATTCCTGGTACCTGAAGAAAAACAAAACAAAACAAACAAAACAAAAGGTAATGTCACATTAGCCAATTTAAAGTAAAAATGGATACATAAAACTAGGCGGCCAAGGTCTTTATCTGTACTTAATAGACATTGCTCACGGGCCCTCGTGACCACGGCCTTATTTTTGAATGTCCTTTTTTTGCATTCACACGTCATCCTCTTAGGTCACGGTTTTCTCCCTGTTACTGATGCTCAGTGTTTTATATGAGAATGTGTGTGTCCAGCTTGCTTTTGTTCTTTTTTGTGTAAGGAGCTAAGAAGCTCAGCTGGTCACATCAGATGCACAAGTGTAAGAGGCCTTTCCTAAGGATTTCAAGCACACGATTAAGGCACACAGATGGAGTCTGGGACCCTCGGTACCTTCCCCTAGGTCCTTTCATGCTGTGTGATGGTGCACCTTGGCCTGGGGTTTATCTGTACTTAATAGCCAAAGTTGTCTCTGGGTGATACATGCAGACCACTACTTATACACAGCGAGGTATTTCAGTCATAAAACACGTTTATCTTTCTGAAAGTCCCATAGCTTGTGAGGGAATATGCCTCCTAAATGCGTAAGCTCCAGAGTTAGTGTTAGCAATGCACAGCCTTCTGAAGGTATCTGATGGCCAAAGACTCCCCTCCTAGTAAACACTGAGTGTGCTTACCCGGAGGTCAGCGTGTTTGCAAGGCACTTTGGCTGGGGCAGTGTTCCTGAGTGTCCCTGAGAGAGGGGCGGAAGCAGGCTCCAGCCTCCGTTTGCCCTTTATTCCCAGACTGCCTTTTTTCTCTCAGGGTGCTTACTCCTTTCATATCTCACTTTCAGAAGCAAGAGCACCCCCTTTTAATCAGGGTAGATGTGGGGTATTTTAGAATTTACATCAGTGTTGGAGCCAGGGGCGTCCAGTGAGACTCCGGGCTGATGGAGGCAGAGGCAGAATATACAGCTTCTTTCCTGATTCCAGCATGAATACGATCCGAATGGTGCCGAGATTAAAAACCCCCTGTGATGACTGGGCTCTCCCTGCCAGATGCAGAGATGCTTTGAGACGCGCTGTGTTTGGCCGACTTCCTCTCACTCCCCCTGCTGTGGCCGCCTTGTCTCCGTGTCTTTGTCTGGTTCTGGCCCTGAGCAGCTGGGTGTCAGGAAGCTGCAGTCCCCAGAGTGTAGGGTAGCTGTTCTTGCATGGATGCTTTTCACCGCTGTTGTTCCTCTCAGCAGTTTTGATACATCTGAAGACTTCAGGGTGGGCCGGGGACACAGCTCAGCGGCATAGCGCCTGCCTGGTGAGCGCACGGTCCTGAGTTCGATTCCCCGTACCCAAAACAAACAAACAAGTAATAAGTAAAAACGTCAGAGTGAGTGAGGATATGCGGGGGAGTTTTCTTTACGTGTTCCACACGTTTTCAGTAAGCACTCGAGCAGCAGGGGGTTGGCTGCCTGCTCGTCTGTTGATATTTGAGGGGAGCAGAGGCTCCTTTCGAGCTGACTGCAGCGTCTGGCGAATCCTGTACTGCTGGATAATGCCTTTTAAGAGAGCTGTAGTTACCTGTTGGGTAATAGCGTACCTCCTTTATTCCCATGCCTGTCGTATTATTATATAATACTATTTATAATATCACATACAGGGGGATAGTCTTATATTAAGGACCGGCAGTGTCCTATCCCAAGACTGTTTAAATAGTGCCGACGTGTGGGGGGGCTGGGTGCTGTGCTGAGCCCCGTACTTGTATTGTTTGGATCCTCGCTGTTCCCTTGCGGGTAGATACCGTTCCCAGCCTTGGTGGGCGGGGAGGAAACCCCTTGTGTCTGGAGTTGGTGATGGGCAAACTAGTGACCCTGAGCGCGCCTGACTGCGGAGTCCTTTCTACCCCTTGGCGCTTGTCTTCAAAATAGCCTTTACGGCCTCGACTCATTTCATGTTCTGATGTGAACTGTTCTAGAAAGAGCGGTTGCACCATTTTTATAAAGCAAACCAGGCCAGCATCCACATACCTGGGCTTGAAGCTAAAGGTGCAGGAGGAGAAGCTGTGGCAGTGCGAGGAATCCACGCAGAATTCATTTCCACAGCGCTTGTGCTTGCCGTTCACTTTACAGCAGTCCTCCCAGCTGTACGTGTTTTGTGCATTTTAGACCTCAGCAACTTTTTAAAGGGAAAACATTGATAATCTTTAAAGTTGGAAGAGTTAATATGTTTGAGGCTAGGTCTTAAAATAGGGTTCCAAAAATACTTGTGCATAATTATAAGTACAGTTTTTTTTAAAAAAGAAACTATTTAGGAGATGTAGTATAGTTTTAGAATGCTTATGTAAGCTCTTGTCACATTAATGACTGTTAAAATTATACAAATAATGCCTTGCATAGAAAACAAAAACATAATAAAAGCAAAACTCGAAATGCCAGGTGATTATTAACAGTACTAATTTAACATTATTAAAGGATTACTTTTCACTCTGTGAGAAAATACATGAACAAAGTTTCACTAGTAACAGGCCTTTCCAATATATTTTCAGATAATTCCATCTACCCAAAATATGATCTAGTCTGATGTCTGGAACAGTTGTCACAGAACATAGTGTGCTGTGATTCGCTTCGTTCTTTGCCCTGTGTCTTGGGTGTCTGTGTTCCTTAATACCCTTACTTTTTCCCTTCTGCGTTCTTGGCCAGCAATAATGTAGCTCTTCGGCTGCTCAGTTTTTGCCATTCGTCTGTTTTAATTTTTATTGTGAAAATAACTGGAATCATCATGTCGGGTGGAGTCACAGCTCTCATGTCCTCCTAAAGCCCTGTTGTGCTCTCCGGCAGGGGCAGCTCTCTACGTGTACAACAACGCGGTGTTCACCCCCGAGGACTGGCACGGCATCCAGGAGATAGCGCGGAGCAGGAAGAAGGACGACCCCTTGAAGGTCGGAAGATTCGGAATTGGGTTTAATTCTGTCTACCACATAACAGGTGCAGTATTTGGCTTTTCAGTCTTGATGATGGAAAGCATGTTAGCCTGTGTTCTATAATTTATTTGGTTAACTTCAGAAATAAAATGGTTTTAAGGACATTTTCCCCACGTTCCACAGTGGCAAGAAGTACGTCAAGGAAATATCAGAGTCTAAATGTACCGTAGTAATGTACCAAAGTTTTGCTTCATTATGTGATTGAAAGTTGAAATTATGAGCTAGTGGAATTGGTGTCATCTGTCATTTGGTATGAGATTTAAAGTGTAGCCTTTGAGAAGCAGAAGATTGTTACTATAGGAAAAATTGTCACACTGTCAATCTTCAGGAGTCAGACGGGTTCTTACTGATTTCCTTGGACGTACAGTATTTCTAAATGTCGCAAGGCTAAAGCAGTGTAATGCTTCAAGGTGTTGAGTAACTGAGGAAATGAAGATCTTCCAAGTGGTCCCAGTATCTCTGCTTTTTCTCTTCATATAAACTTTCTACTTTTTAAAAGACTTTAAAGGTTACTTTGAAATCATGTTTTGAATCTAGAACATGAGGTTTCTGGTTCATAGGTACAATAGGAAATACCTGAGTAGAAATATCCCGCAGTGTAGACATCCCTACGAACATGTGGCTGTCCTTTGAGAATCAGTTCTTGGTGCTCACTGCATTTGCATGGTAAAAATTTTTTTTATGGAATTGGATGTTTTTAGGGTAGTTTGAAATCCTCCTGAAGGAGAGGCTGCGCAGGCTGGGGTGTGGCGGCGGCTGGGGGCCCAGTGTAAGTTATCCTCCAAACTGGGACGTGCTTGATAGCACAGGAGAGTGTGGCATTGTTCTCAGACATCCGGCCTAGATTGGGGCTGCCCTGGGCAGGTGGAAAGTAAGGTCATTCTAGCTAGAACTGAATTTCAGTAAACATGTATTTACATTATTATTGATCTATTAAATCTTTGTATTTCAGTTGTTAAATTATATGTTCAAATGTTACTATTACACATGCATGAAAATGTTCATGTGTTCACTTATGTGCATGTTGTCCTTTAGGACTGCAACATGGGGTTAGTAAGTGTTAGGAAGCACAGATGTAACCTGTACGAGTGTGCAGACTTGTTAAGGGAACGAGCATGAGGTTAGCAGCGGGCTGATTGCCCAGCGTGTGCCTGTCCGTGTGCTTTTGTGCCTGGCGTTTCTGTGAGTCCTTAATTGGAGGCTGTCCTCTACTCAGAGGATCTGACAAGGTCACTGTCATGCTTTTGCAGTGTTAGGAGTCTCCCTGACCTGATTTCAGTTGTAGAGGTCTGGTATTGTGTAGTCGAGCAGGGACAGGTGTGCCCTAGACCACACTGTAGATGGATTCATCTGGGAAGTTGGTAGATACTACATTTGTTACTTAAAATACCCAAAGAGGCTGGGTGTGGTGGTGCACGCCTGTAATCCCAGCACTTGGGAGGCTGAGACTGGAGGATCACCATGAATTCAAGGCTAACCTGAGGTACATAAGCGAGTTCCAGGCCAGGCTCTACTACATAGGGAGATGCTATCTCAAAAACAAAAAACAAAAAAGACTTAGATAAAATACCCAAGTGCTCACGAGTTGCTGATTGACAGTTGAACGTACAGTTGGCAGACAGCAGATGTTAAAAATTGACTTCCCGGAAGCATAGAGGATGAAGTTTGCGAGTGATGCAAAACATGTCAGAACTGCCCTTGGGAAGTCCTCTGGGAGGCACTGTAGGTCAGAATTTCAGTTCCGTAACCCCAACCTATCTCTTCTTTCTGCCAGTGGGAAAATACCACTCTGTCTTTGTTGAGAAGCAGGTAACGCAAGTGGTATTACTGTGGACCGCTAAGGTAGGTGGAAATATTGTAGGCAGTCAGATAGAGTGAGGCCCTGCGTTGAGCCAGTGCAGAGGATGGGAATGCCTGACAACGGTGGCTGGAGGCACATCTGTTAGCGGCCAGCCCTCAAGCTGAAGACAGAATGACCAGGTCTGCGTACCTTCCCAGGGGGTAGGATAATTGGTATCACTGGTCCAGTAGAGCCTAGATGGACATCAGTCACCCCGTTGGGTGACCAGAACCTCTGATCCATCCCTCCTAAAGAAGGTCCTTGTTCTTTCCACGTACCCTCTGTGTGACCTGCTTCCCCATTCAATCAGCATTATCTAAGTGGCTGTACTTGTCATCTTATTAGTTGATCATAGTTTTGACCCACGTTGTACCTACCTTGTGATTTTGCTCTGTAAAGCTTCCTTTAAAAAGTGGGCTCCTTGGCAGCCCACATTTGGGTCCCCTCCTGTCTCTCAGGAGCTGTCTAAATAAATTTTTCCTACTCGTAACATCCTTTGTTCCTTAAAATTCACTCTTCGATTTTGGGGAGCATGAACGTGGCATGTCTAGCATCTAACAGGTTGGGAGTTACATTATTTCTCCTGTATCGCTATCAACTCGGGTCATATCATCCAGAGCCTGCCTGTCAGTAGGCCAGCTTGATAGGCACCGAGCGTGAGAAGCACTGACCCCTCCTGCTCGCGCTGGGGCCTGTGGAACTGCCTGCGCGGTGTTTCTCTCTTGTCGGAGTCTGCAGTTGAGTGTTTCATTTTGAGCAAAGGATACAGCTCTTCTTTAATTAGTTGGGTTTCTTTGCTTATGGGGTGAGTGTAAATATCTGAATACTCTTACATCTTCTGCTTGATGAATATTTGAATATTCTAGCTTTCACAATAATGACGGAAGGATTTTTTTGTCTTTCTCATTTTTTTATGGGTTCCTTTTAGATATACGTAACGATAACATTCATCATGTGAGGTTTGTACCTGTACATCGTATTTCCCACATCTTCTTCTTCGCATTCCTACCCCTCCCCTCCCTTCAGCCTTGCTTCCCCTTATTTATAAAAGCTTTGTTTCCATTTTTTTTCTATTTTTTTCATGTCCCTTCATATCACATTCCCCTTGTTCCCTTTCCCATTTGAACATTTTCTTCCCACGTCCCAATACCTATTATACATTTGGGTCCTTATTTCACTTTCACTTTCTCACACCAGAGGAATCATGCGGTATTTGAACGTGTGTCCAGTTTGTGTCACTGAAGAGTGTGGGCTCAAGGTGCGTCCATTACCTAGAAATGTCGAGTTTCCCCTCAGTCTCTATGGCTGAGTGGTGCTCCATTGTATAACACAACATCTTCTTTATCCGTTTATTGGTTAACAGGCTTTTGGGCTGTTTCCAAGACTTAGCTCTTATGAAGAGTGCCGCTGTAAACATGGGTGAACATATGTCTCTGTGGTCTGATACTGTCAATTCTTTCAGGAAGATACCAAGAAGGGGACTGGCTGGGTCCAGTGGGACCTCTACTCCTAGTTTCTGAGGGATCTCCACCCTGATTTCCACACTGGTTGCACCAGTCTACACTCCACCAGCAGTGGAGAAGGGTTCCTTGTTCCCCTCAGCCCCGCCACGTTTGTTATTGGTTGATTTCTTGATCATAGCCATTCTTTCTGGGGTGAGATGGAATCTCAGCGTTGTTTCAAATTTTCTCTCTCAAATGAGCAGTGATGCTGAACATCTTCTTGTGTATTTATGTTCAGTTTCTCCTTCTTCATCTGAGAAGTATGCATTCATTACAGATGCCCATCTTTGGAGTGGGTCTTGAAATTGGAGGGGTCTGATTTTTCTGATTTCTTTATATATTCTAGATACTAGTCCATTGTGTCAGGAACAGCTGGCAAAAATTTTTTCCCAAAGTATGGGTTGTCTTTTCACTCTGTTGGTGATTTCTTTTTGTTGTGCAAAAACTTTTTAATAAGATGAAATCCCAAATGTTAGTTCTTAGTAATATTTCCCATGCAGTCATCGTTGTTTTCATAAAATCTTTGCCTACACCTATGTCCTCAAGAGTTCTACCTCTTCTATCTTCCAGCACATTCAATGCTTCTGTTTCAGTATTTAGATCTTTGATCCATTTCAATTTTGGTTTAGTGCATCAGGAAAAATAAGGGTCTAGTTTTAGTTTTTGGCATGTGGAAAGTCAGTTCTTTCAGCACCATGTATTAAGAGGCCATCTTCCTTGCAGTTGAGGTGTTTGGCTGCTTTGTCAAAGGTAGGTGGCCGAGTGTGTTTGAAGTTGTTTCTGCATCTTTTAATTTGTTCCGTTGATCCTTGCGTCTGGTTTTCTTCTTTTTGCCAGTACCGTGCTGTTTTTACCTGAGTAGCTTTGTAGTACAGTTTCAAGTCAGGGATCACGATGCCCACTGCCTTGTGTTTGTTGCGCAGAATTGTTTTTGGTCTTCTAGGGCCCTTCTGATTCCAAATGAATTTGAGGATTGTGAAGTGTCTGTTCAGAGAAATCATTATTTTTCATACTCAGTGGATTACATTTCCAAAGCTGTGTGTTTTTGAATCCTGGCTCATAGTTTTTCATATGTAATATTTTGAAGGTAATTATAAATTCATTATAGGTGTAATTATAATTGTGCAGTAAATTTCAGAGTTGATCATGATTTAAATTGTACTTACAGATGTTCCGTGTATCTTCAGTGGTGAGCAGATTGGAATGTTAGATCCTCATCAAACACTGTTTGGCCCCCAAGAATCAGGCCAGTGTTGGAATCTCAAAGATGACAGCAAGGAAATTAGCGAGCTTTCTGACCAGTTTGCACCCTTCATTGGCGTTTTCGGAAGCACCAAGGAGACGTTTGCAAATGGCAATTTCCCAGGAACTTTTTTTCGTTTCCCTCTTCGCCTACAGCCTTCACAGCTCAGTAGCAACCTCTACAACAAGCAGAAGGTTCTCGAGTTGTTTGAGTCTTTCAGGGCAGATGCAGACACGGTGCTGCTCTTTCTGAAAAGTGTGCAGGACGTCTCTTTACATGTCAGAGAGGCCAACGGGACGGAGAAGCTGGTGTTCCGAGTGACTGCGAGTGAGAACAAGGCCCTGAAACATGAAAGGCCAAACTCGATAAAGATTCTGGGAACTGCTATAAGTAACTACTGTCAAAAGATTCCAAGCAATAGCATCACTTGTGTAACGTATCATGTAAATATAGTTTTGGAAGATGAGAGTACTAAGGATGCACAGAAAACATCCTGGTTGGTGTGTAACAGTGTGGGTGGGCGAGGGATTAGTAGTAAACTTGACTCTCTAGCTGATGAATTGAAATTTGTCCCCATCATTGGCATTGCCATGTCTTTATCAGACGGAAATGATGAAGCAAAAGGAGCAATGTCTGATTTCTCAGGAAAAGCATTTTGTTTCCTTCCTTTGCCGCCGGGTGAAGAGAGCAGAACGGGGCTTCCAGTTCACATCAGCGGGTTCTTTGGCCTGACGGACAACCGCAGGAGCATAAAGTGGAGGGAGCTGGACCAGTGGCGAGACCCCGCGGCCTTGTGGAATGAATTTCTCGTGGTGAATGTTGTCCCGAAAGCTTACGCCACTCTAATCTTAGATTCCATAAAACGCCTTGAAACCGAGAAGAGCTCCGACTTCCCTCTGTCGGTGGATCTCATCTACAGGCTTTGGCCCGAGGCCGGCAAGGTCAAGGTGCACTGGCGGCAGGTGCTGGCGCCCCTGTTCGGCGAGCTCTTCCAGAGCGCTGTGATTTACTCCCTCAGCGGCGACTGGGTCAAGCTGGAGCAGGCGCACTTCTCCGAACTTGATGAAAGCTTGGATTACACAAAATCTGTGCTCAACTACCTCCAGAGCTCAGGGAAGCAGATCGCCAAGGTACCGGGCAATCTGGCCGCTGCCGTTCAGCTGCATGCCGCTGCCTCCCCGACGGCCACGCCCGTGAGGAAGGTGACGCCCACGTGGGTGCGGCAGGTGCTGCGCAAGTGCGCGCACACGGGCGGCGCGGAGGAGAAGCTGCACCTGCTCGAGTTCGTGCTTTCCGACCAAGCCTACAGCGAGCTGCTTGGGCTGGAGCTGCTGCCTTTACAGAACGGAAATTTTGTCCCCTTCTCCTCGTCCGTGTCAGACCAAGATGTTGTCTACATTACCTCAGAGGAGTATCCAAGGTACGAGGCGCCGGCTTGCTCCCAGCGGCCTCTCGCTCCTGCCACGCTTGGGCCCTTGCTCAGAATGTTCACGAGTTACCTGTGCAGATTTTATCGTTAGGAGGACTTTTAAAGGAATGCTTTGTTAAGAGTTTAAAGAATACATTTTATATTTTACAATGAAAAAGCATTCCAACCTTAATCACTTAAAAAGTGATCTAATGTTGAGCCTAGTGGCGCATACCTATAGTCCCAATTACTTGGGAGGCAGAGGCAGGAGGATTGTTTGAGCATAAGAGTTCAAGATCAGCCTCTGTAACATAGTAGGACCCATCTCAAAAAAAAAATTATGAAAGTAATTATTTTTCTTGGAAATTTTGATAGTGGTGAAAGTAATGATTGTAATTGTTAATCATGTAAGTCACTAATGAATTATTTTGATGAAATTTAAAATGGTATGTTAGGTAACTATAATTTAGGTTTTATACTGACATTTCAGAAAATAAATTTTATCCTAAGATATTATAGTACTTGTGGATTTAAATGATATATGATGCCCTATAAGCAAAGCCTATTTGATCAAAAATACTGTGATTGAATGTATACATTTAAGTAAAATAAAATGCTAGGTTTAACTGGGTGGAAGTTATACACCCAGTTATACACCCCCAAAAAATGCTGCTGTAGTTTTGTTCGGGCGGGGGGTGGTGCTGGGATTGAACACCCAGGGCCTTGCAGGGCCTTGCACATGTTAGCCAAGTGCTGTACCACTGAGCTACACCCCAGCCCAGAGAATTTATTGATTTTAGAATTGTTAGAAGATTGTAATTGTTGTGTATCTTTCATGTTCTAGGTCCCTTTTCCCAGGTCTTGAAGGAAGATTTATTTTGGATAACTTGAAGCCTCACCTTCTAGCTGCTCTAAAGGAAGCTGCCCAAACCCGAGGTATTATGGTTGTTTAGAAAACGTTTTTTTGGGCCAGGGATGTAGCTCAGTGGCATAAGTGCCTGCCTGGGAAGCGCAAGGTCCTGAGTTTGATTCCCAGTACCACAAGAAAAAGAAAACCTTTTTTCAAAAATATAAAAGAGTTTTCTATTAATAGTTACCCATTGGAGACTTGTAAATTAGCAATTTTGTATGAGTCAGTGCTATAGAATTGTTTTTCTTCAAGCTGTTTCAGGAGCCATTTGAGCATCTAAAAGAACCCAAACGTAGAGTTGTATCTAAGACCCTCTGTCTTTGCTGTCTGATGGTGGATATTTCAGAACTCTCATCCGAGTCTCCACAGCACTTTGCAGTTTTTCAAGTGCTTTCTATTTGTTTTCGTATTTCCGCCTCTCGCAGTCACACCTTGCAGTCTGTGTGGTAATGAGGCCAGTGATTGTTAGTTAAATTTATCAGATGGGAAGAAGGTTGGATTCAAGGTCACTGTCTGCTGGTTGGAATTAGGTCTTCCACCTGGTCCTGCTTGCTGGGTTTGCCCTCCACAACTTTGTGGTGATGCTGGGTTTGCATTAGTCATGATAAGCTTCCAAGAAATGGGGACTAATAAATTGAGCCTCATAACAGAGTCAGGAATGGGGACTTACGAGTACTTAGGAAAGCTTAAGAATTACTTTTAGGGAAAGAGTAATTTGAGGGGAAAATCCACCGTGGTTCTCACTTTCATACCGTCTTTCAACTTTTGCAGGCACCCTTGCCTTTATAAAACGGTTCATTCGCTTGCACTTTTTCCAAATTAGATACTGACCTGAAATAGTGTAGATCTGGATTTGTCCTGCTGGTGAATATTGTAGAGCATGTTCTGTGTGATAGGTCCTGAATAGCAGTGCAAAAGGTAATGGTACCAGGAAGAGTTGCTAATAGCTTTTCATCTTTATTCCTTGAAACATATGTGAAAGGAATCAGAACGAGGGAGGCAAGTTAGGGTGGAGTTAAAATAAGGCTAAGAAAAGTGAGTGTGTGAATGGTGCTTACTATAAGGTAAGGATATCTCTATCAGATAGTCACAGTAAGGTTGATTTTTCCATAACTTAGATTGTTCATTTGATTGTGAACTATAATCTTCATAATAGCCTTTTTTGGGAGTCTTCACTCCCCGGTTCCTTTAACTCTGCCATGCTTTGCTCCAATGTTACGGAACTCCTCTGTCTCCTCCCTTCCTGCTTTCAGATTGCCTGTTCTCATTTTACGATTTTGTGTGGAAGTGTAAAGCACTTGCTTCTGCACACACCCAAAAGCAGGCGTGTGTTTGATGTGTCTGAGCTAACATGCTCATGATTTAGCTCAGAAAAGAGTATGTTACCAGCACCAGAGCCCTCTGTTTTCTACAAGCCGGGGAGCTATGATCCTGGCCTTTGTCAGCAGAGAGTAACTTGGCTAGTTAGCATGCTTGCACGGGAGAATACAGTGTGTATTTTGTGTCTTGGCTTCTCTCTCTCTTTTTTTTTTCTTAGTGCATATAGTGATACAGAGCAGTGAGATTCATTTGGCATATTCCGACATGGATATAACACTGATGACAGCTCTCCATCATCCTCCTTGCTTTTTCTTTACCCGCTTTTCCTTATTCCTTTTTCTTTCAGGGAAAATCTTTCTGTTTCTTTTTTTCCCTTCGTTCCCACATATGAGAGAAAACATGAGACATTTGTCTTCCTCGGTCTGGATTATTTTGTTTAACATGAGCATTTCTGGTTCCATCCATTTTCCTGCACGTGACATTGTTTTATCTTCTTCAGGGTTGAATAATTTCCCACCGTTCTCACATTTTCTTTGTCCACTCGGCAGTGAACAGGCACCTCGCCTGTGTCCGTAGCGTAGCCTTCGGGGATTGTGCCTCCGCAAACATGGGTGTGGCGGTGTGTCTTCAGTGTGCTGATTGTACTTACTTTGTGACTGTGTTGTGAAGTGATATACATAGCTGGGTCAGCGGTAGCTCTGTTTTTAGTTTCTTTTTGCTGATTGTCTACACTGATTTCCGTAGTGGTGGTGCTAATTCAGTTCCCACCAGAAGTGTAGAAGGGCTCCTTTGTCCCTGCATCCTAACAGTGTGACATTTTTTTGTACTTTGACGATAGCCGTTCTGACTGGGGTGAGATGAAGTCTCAGTGTAGTTTTGATTTGCTTTTCCCTGATGGCTGATGGTGTCGAACAGTTGTACATTATTTATGGGTTATTTGTATTCCTTTTGAGAGGTATCAGCTTAGTTTATTTGTTCATTCATTGATGTATTTATACTTTTGGTATTAAACTTCGTTCATTTTTGTCCTTGGCTCTGTTGATATGATGTATTACATTTTGTGTGTGTTGAACCATCCCTACATCCCAGGGATGAATCCTGCTTGGTCATGATGTATAATCTTGATGATTTGCTGTATTCTGTTTGCAAGTATCTTATTGAGAATTTTTGCATCTGTGTTCACTAGGAAGATTGGCCTGTAGTTCTGTTTTGGCTCCTTCTCTGGTTTTGGTATCAGGGTAATACTTGCTCCCAGGAATGAGTACCGCTTCCCTTTCAGCGTCAATAAAGAGTCTGAAGAATGGTGGCATTAGGTCTGCTCTAAATTTCTTATAGAATTCAGCAGTGATTCCATCAGGAACTGGGCTTTTCTTTGCTGGTAGGTTTTTAATTACATCTTCAAATTCATTGACTGATACTGACTTATTTAGAATTTTTGTATTTTCTTGATTCAGCTCTAGTAATTCATATGTATCTAGGAATCTGTCCCTTTCTTCTCCTGTTTTCTCTGTTACTAGAATAAAAGTTCTCGAAGTAGGTATCGATGATGACCCGGGTTTCTGTAGGATCAATTGTGATTTCACCCTTTTCATTCCTAATTACATGAATTTGAGTCTTTCCTTTTTTTTGATAAGATTGGCTAAGGGATTATCAATTTATTTAGTCTTTCGGAGAACCAACTCTTTGATTCATTGATTCTTTGTAGTCTCTATTGCATAAATTTCTGCTCTGATCTTTATAATTTCCATCTTCATATGAGCTTTGGGTTTGACTTGTAGATGTAGAAAAAGTGTTTCATGAAGTCCAACACCCATTCATGATTAAAAAAAAAAAACCTACAGAAAATCAGAGTAGGTGGTCTTTATCTCAGTTTGATAGAAGCCATCTGTGACAACCCAACAGCCAACATCCTACTAAATGGACAGAAACTGAAAGCTTTTGCTCTAAAATCAGGAAGAAAAGTAAGATGTCCACTGTCACCACTCCTGTTCAATATAGTTCTAGAAATATTAGCCAGAGCAATTAGACAAGAGAAAGAAATAAAAGGAATAAAGATAGCAAAGGAAGAAGTAAAGTTATCATTATCTGTAGATGACGTGATACTCTACATGGAAGACCTGAGAAAGTCCACTAAAAGACTTCTAGATTTAATAACAAATTCAGTAGCCTAGCAGGATACAAAGTCAGTACTTAGAAATCAATAGCATTCGTATACACAAACAACAAACTCACTGAGAGAGAAATTAGGGAAACCACACCTTTCATAATAGTATCCCAAAATTTGAAATACTTAGGAATCAATGTAACAAAGAAAGTAAATGATTTTTTATTGGAAACTGTAGTGCTCTGAAAAAGATTGAAGAGGATATAAGAAAATGGAAAGATATCCCTTGCCCTTAGGTAGAAAGAACCAGTATAGTGAAAACAGTCCTACTTTCAAAATTGTTATACAGATTTAATGAAATCTCAATCAAAATACCATTAGCATACCTCACAGACGTAGAGAAAACATTCCTAAAATTCATTTGGAACCAGAAGAGACTTAGAATAGCAAAAACAATTCTGGGCAACAAAGGCAAAGTGGGAGACATCACAATCCCTGACTTGAAATTATACTACACAAAGATACTATGATAAAATCAGCATGGTACTGGCAAAAAAAAAAAAAAAGGATCAGTGGAACAGACTAGAAGATGTAGAAAAAGCTCCCAGCATATCTTAACTTTGACAAAAAGGCCAAACACATTCACTGGAAGAAAGACAGCTTCTATAATACATGGTGCTGGAAAAACTGGCTTTCCACATGCCAAAGACTAAAACTCGATCCTTGTCTCTCACTATCAAAATGAAAGTGAATCAAATGTCTAAATATTAAAACAGAAACACTTAATCTCCTGGAAGAGAGAGATTAGTTAAAACTCTTGAAGACAGGCATAGACAAAGACTTTGTGAACAAGCCCCAGTGGCATAGGAAATAGTACCAGGTATTAACAACTGGGATCTCGTCTTACTAGAAAGCTTTTGCACAGCAGAAGAAACCACCAACAGAGTGAAGAGACAACCTACACTGTGGGAAAAAAATTTTGCCAGCTGTTCCTGAGACAGTGGACTAACATCTAGAATATATAAAGAAATCAGAAAAATCAGACCCCTCCAATTTCAAGACCCACTCCAAAGATGGGCATCTGTAATGAATGCATACTTCTCAGATGAAGAAGGAGAAACTGAA